AGCCCTTTAGCTCAGCATGAAGTCTTTGAGACTCACCCACACTGTCATACCGGTAGTTTAGACCTTTTTCCTGATGAGTAGTATTCATTCCAGTCCGTGGCTGCAACACAACTTATCCAGTCCCCTGTTGATGGAGTTTTGGGTTTTGTTCCTGGTTTTGGGGCTGCTATGAATAAAGCTGCTACAAAACTTGTGGTTATATGTTTTCATTTTTCTTAGGTAGTTACTAATTACCTAGAAATAGCATTGCTGGGTCAAAGGGTAGGTGTATGTTTAACTTCATAAGAAACGGCCAAGCTTTTTTCCAAAGTGATTGTTTGTGCCTTTGTATATTCCCACCAGTGGAGAATGAGAGTTCCCATTGCCCCGTATCTTCAGCATTTGGTGGTGTCAGTCTTTAAAATTTTAGCCATTCTGGTGAGTGTGTGTTGTTAACTTCACTGTGCTTTTGTTTCCGCCTCCCTGATGACTAATGATGAATACTTATTCTTGTGCTTGTTGGCCATTCTTGTATCTTCTTTTGTGAGATGTGTAGAAGGATTTCCTTCTTAAATGTCTGAAGTACTTCACCAGTGAAATCATGGTGGTAACAAACTGGAAACGAAATGAAGTGGTGGAATGCGTGATGACATCGTGGTGGATCGGCACCATGGAATAGTAAATAACCAAATGGAACTATGCCAGATAATTTGGATTTTCATAGATTTTTAAGGCTTTATTGAGAGATAATTTACATGTGATAAAATCCACCCATGGTGAGTGAGTTGTAGGAGATCTGTGTAGTGGTGCAGCTCTCAACATGACGTCATTTTAGAACAGTTCTGTCACTTGTGAGGAGGCTTTTCTTTGATAAACATAGGGCTGTTCTGATTTTCAGCTTTATTTTGGGTCAGATCCGGTAATTACGGTTTTCGAGGGATTTGTCCACCTAGTCTAAATCGTCATATTTGTTGGCGTATGTTTTTGTGATGCTCCCTTGCGGCCTCTTCAGCATCTGACTGTCGTGTCCCCTCTCCCGTTCCTGGTGCTAGTGTTTTACGTCTTTCTTCCCACCTTGGGTCTTGCCAGGAGTTTGTTGGTTTTACTTACCTTTTCAAAGAACCAGTTCTGGGCTTTGTTGATTCTCTCTGTTGTTTCTCGTTCATTGATTTCTGCCTTTTATTTATTATTGCTTTTCTTCTACTTACTTTGGGTTCAATTTTCTCTTCTTGTACTTTCTTAAGGTGACAACTTAGATATTTGATTTTAACCGTTTCTTCCTAACACAGGCGTTTGATGTCGTAAATGTTCTTTTAAGCACTGTTTTACTTGCATCCTATGAATTTTCACATGTTTTGCTTTATTACTTGGTTTGAAACGTTCTGATTTCCCTTGTGATTCCTTCTTTATCCAGGGGTTATTTACGAGGTTGTTATTTAATTTGCAAATATTTAGGAATTTTCTAGATTGCTCACTGTTAGTGGTTTCTAATTTAATTCCATTGTGGTCAGAGAACACGTTCTGTAAGTATTCAGTATTTCGAAATTTATTGAGACTTATCTTTTGGTCCAGCATCTTGTTCATCTGTGTGAGCATTCCACATACACTTGAAAAGCGTATTTTGTCTGTAGGTGTTGAATACACTGTTAGGTGAATGTCATTTAGGCCCAGGTGGTTAGCATTGCTATTAGGGTCTCTGTATCTTTACTGTTTTTTTCCATGATTGTTTTCACCACCTATGGTGGAGGGGTGTGGATGTCTCCAACTCTTTCTTCCTTTAGTTCTGTCGGTTTTTACTTCATGTATGTTGAAGCTCTGTTATTTAGCAATACACATTTGTAATTGTCATGTCTTCCTCACGTACTGACCCTTTTATCATCATGAAATCATAAATAGTAGCAATCTTTATTTTGAAATCTATTTTGTCTAATGGGAATATAACCACTTCTTTTCCCCTTTTACCACTTGAGGACTTTCTACAGGTTGAATTGGTTAGAAAAACTTATTTTCCATAAAATCCTTCCAATGAAATGAAATGTTGAAATTTCATAATTAACTAAAAAAACTTTTTAAAGACTTAGTCCTAGTAATATAATCTTTTCCAGTTGTAGGAAAAGGCCATTATGGTAGGTATCATCTGGTTCTTTTTGAAGCAGAGGCTGCCTAAATTCCTGTATCATGATATTTTGTTTCCAGCAGAACAGTATGAAAAATAAACTGAATGCCACTTGACCACAAAAGGCAAAGAAAAGTGGTTACTTGAGGATTTTTAGATTTTTTTCCTCATGACTTTTAAGAGAGGGAGCAGAGTTGATCCGCATTTTAGTGAGGCCTGCTGCTGAGACGGAGGCAAGCAGTGCCGCGGTGGGCATGCCTCTCTGCTGCTCGTGTGAGTTCCTTACTTGTGAGTGAGAGCCTGGCGAGGCGTAGGACGCTTCTGTCTGCAGTGAGCAAAATACGTTTCAGGGTATTGTAGCTGGTTTTCATACTAAAGATGAGAAAAGGGAAAATTCGTTTGTCTAAATGACAGCTGTTTGACTGCCTGGTTATAAAACTTTTTTCAGACAGGGTCTTCAGAAGCTAGAACTGTTGCTTCCTGCGTTGGTTTCTTGCTCTTTCCACCTGAAGAGGGGCTTCTCGCCCTCGGCGTGGCTGACATCTGGGCGCGGGTTGTTCTTTGTTGTAGGGCCTGCCCCATGCGATGTCGGGTATTTAGCATCATCCAAGAGCTTGGGAGATGCTGGTTTAAATAAAGGTAAAGTGGTTTCTTTATTTTGCAGGATTTTTGAAGGCTCTTAACATCAGCTGTAAATTGTCAGTCTCCAAAAGGAACTAGAGTGGGCCCGTCTCAAGCCTTTTGAACACGAAATTTATTCACGAAGCATTTTCCAGAGAAATAAAATTTGGTGGGACACATTTTGGGAAGTGCTGTTCTAGAGGCATTCAGGGGAGGCCAGGGTGCTGGTGAGGAGCAGGTGGTGGGCTGGTACCAAGCTGATATGATGAACTGACAAGGTCGTGATCTGGTCCCTGTACACACCAACCGGTGTGGCTGCCTGTAATGGGTATTAGAATAGTGAAAGGCTCACGTACTGGAGGGTAAATAGCTGCTATCTTGAGCCTCTCGAGTGCTGCCCCCACCCCCACGCACTGTGCTTGGCCCCTTACCCAGCACTCCCCAGTCCTCTCCTCTCTCCAGCAACTGAAGGGTATGGTATCTGATTCACAGGGACCCCACACCCTCTTTTAGAATCCTGTGCCAGCATTGCGGGCTGTGTCTTTCCTGGTTGGTTGGTGACCGTTGTGTGCAAGTTGCTAGTATTTTGAATATCATCCTGGGTGTGAGGGAGGGAATCCGGGAGGACAGTGTGAAAGGGGTGTAGAGCTTTTAGTCAAAGACACCCTTACACGCAGACAGCTCAGGTTCTTAGGTACCAGGCTCCCGTCTGTTGGCTAGAAGGAGAGAGACTTAAAATGTTTGGCCATGTTGACTTAAAACAATAATAATATACTATTGGATATAACTGCTCTTTGAAGAACCAAACAAAATGTTGAGCTTTACACTATATGTCAAAAGTTGGTGGAACAGAGTTCTGCCAGCTCAAAGGAAGGATATTCCCAGAGTTAGTTCCTTCCAGGGCCTGTGAGACAGGCCTCTGGTGGGCCGAGGCGTTCCACTGGGCAGGCCCCATGGGGAGCAGCGTCTCTTGTAAGAGCCTGTCTGGAGGGTAGTGACAGTCAGCTTCTGACTGCCAGCCTCTGTCACTTGTGCTGTTGTGCTTCGGGATGTGAACGCTGTGGCAGGCAGAGCAGTCTTCATCAAGAGAAGCCTGCAGCAAGACACACCTGCTGTGAGAACACCTGTCACCAGGTGAATGACGTTGAAAAAACGCACAGCTTTCATTAAAGGTATGAAGGAAGGCTGACTATGCAGAACGTTTTGGAGGTTCCTTAAAAAACTAAAAATAGAGTTACCATATGATCTAGCAATCCCACTCCTAGGCACAGATCCAGAGAAAACTCTAATTCGAAAAGACACATGCACCCCAATGTTAATTAACAGCAGCACTATTTACAATAGCCAAGACACAAAAGCAACCTATCTGTCCGTGACAGATAATTGGATAAAGAAATTGTGGTGTATGTTCACAATGGAATATTACTCAGCCATAAAAAAGAATGAAATGCCATTTGCAACAACATGGATAGACCTAGAGATAATCATACTAAGTGATGTAAGTCAGACAGAGAAAGACAAATATCATATGATTATTACTTATATGTGGAATCTGAAAATGATACAAATGAACTTGTTTATGAAACAGAAATCACCTCACAGACATAGAGAACAAATTTATGGATACCAGTGGGGAAAGTGGGCAGAGAAGGGCAGGGATAAATTAGGAGTTTGGGATTAACATATACACACTACATATATAAAATAGACAACAAGGACTTACTGTACAGCACAAGGAACTATATTTAATATCTTGTAATAACCTATAATGGAAAAGAATCTGAAAAAGAATGTGTATATATATATATATATAATTGAATCACTTTGCTATACACTTGAAACTAACACAACATTGTAAAGTAACTACACTTCAATTAAAAAAATTTTAAAAAAAAGGGAAGGCTGAGTCTGAATCTGAAATGGTTATTTTCAGATGGTAAAGTTGCTCATTGCTCAGTTGGTTTAAACTGATTAATAGGAAATTTTAGTATGTTTCTGTATTTATTAATAATTGTGTGGGAAACCACCAAGATATTCTTTCAAAAGCTTAGATGGGAAAAGTTTGACTATATGTCCAAAGCTTTAAGAACCTTGATTTTTATAAGATAATGTAGAGACAAAATATGCGTAAGTTCAACTAATGGGAAAAAGAAAATATGATTAACTTGCTTGATGTATTTGTGAGCTTTTCAGTTGTGATTATGGTTAATAAATAATGGCTTAATAACCGTGACTTTAAAGTTGGCCTGAATTGTGAGGTTATCTGTTTTTACCTACACAATAGTGTCGAGCAAGTGAACAATCTCCGGGAGATACAAGCTCTGAGGCGCCTGAATCCACACCCGAACATTCTTACGTTGCATGAAGTGCTTTTGTAAGTATATTCGGGGCTTTAAAAACTACCTACATTGGATGATAATTATTAAGTCTCTCTCTAAGAAAGAAAGGCATGGTAAACATTTTTGATATTTGCTTTGTGGTAGCTCAGAGAGTAATAATTTTGTTTTATCTTAAGTCACTCACTTATTTGGGCAGATGTGCGCTGTATGTGATTCCTAACGTGGAAGGCCTTCATTTAGGGGACCCCAGGTCATAAAAGCATAAGTAATTCAAATGTTTCCTCTCCTGTAGTGCAGCCGGGCCTCCCTGCAGACGGTGGAGGCGCCGGGTGTCTGAGTCGTGACCTCCTGGGAAGCCCTGCTGTTGTGTGTCAGGGATTGAGCTTGCTGTAGCCCTGCCATTGCCGTCTCTGTACAGTCTCTTGTAGCCTTTCTTAGCCTAATTGACATCATTCCAGGGGATTCTCATTTCTGTTCAAATTACAGACAGGTTTACCAGTTGATCAAGAAGGCAGGGTACTGGCAGCTGTGCATGGGGCTCTGGCCCCTGGGCTGGGGACAGGGCTAGGGTCCCAGGGCCTGGCTCCCTGTGGGTGGGGTTCCGAGAGGTTCCCGCCCCCCCCCACCGCCCCAGAGCCTGGCCTTTGCACCCAGCCCGGAAATGACAGGCACTGACAGTCACAGTGCGGGAGGTTTTAATCAGAGGGCTGAGCAGTGCTAAACTCAGGCTGCAGTGTCTTGTCCCGGCTGGGCGTCCTCCTGGCCGGCGTGTGCTGAGCGCTTAGCCTGGGCCAGGCCGGAGCCCGCAGTCCGTGTGCGAGGCGCAGCCGCCGGTGCGGGGGATGCGCCCGTTCACCACCACCCATGGGCCTCTTCTCGGCCCGCGGGGCAGCGGGGACCCCGTCCAGCCTCCCGGAGGTGCCCCGGGGTGACTCAGGCCCCCCTGTCCGGGGCCTAGACATCATGCTGGGGTGACGTGACTCATCTTTCTCCTCTTTGCCCCTGATTGGATTTGGGGTTTGTCTCCCCGCATTGTCAGGTATCCCAATTATAGGGAAGTAATTTAGATAAATTAAAACTAAATTTGCAGCCATAGAGCAAGAATTAAAGCTTACTTTCTGTAATTGTTTTGTTTGGCCAACTCCTCAACCTCTTCTTTCTGCTCATAGTTACTTTTATGTTTTTAAGACCCTTCTCTTTAAAAGCTGGAGGAGGGTAGCTTTTAGAGATTTGTTTTTTTTTTTTTTTTTCCTAAAGTGGATTTTCACTATTATTTTAAATTATTTTTACCTGAAATACTGTTTGAAAATCAAAACTTGTACTGTTTCAGCCATTACCCGTTGGTCTGTGTATGATGTGGTATTGCTTTATCAGAAATGTTTACAAGTGAGTTACATGTTTATTTCTGAGTAAGACAAGAAAAAAATGTAAAACCTACTTTCTTCTTCAGTGACAGAAAATCTGGTTCTCTTGCACTAATATGTGAACTTATGGACATGAACATTTATGAGCTAATACAAGGTACGTAGAGTAA